CATTGCAGCTTTTCCAAGCCCTCTATTTTGTGATAATGAAAGCACAACGAAAATTTCAAGCCCCCCGTTTTCCATGAAAGAACAAAGCATTTTGAGGTAGATTGTCATTTTGTGCGAGAAAAATTTGAATGGGGAGAAATAACACTTCCTTAAATCCCTTCTAAGGATCAAATTGCTGACATTTTCACAAAGACGTTGCCTAAAGGGTGCCACAACTATTTGATGAGCAAACTGATGCTGTTACACCCCCATCAGTTTGAGGGGGAGTGAAGGAAAATATGTCAAAGATAAGATTGGGAAGATAACTCCTAACATATTAAGATAAGATAAGATTCATTCTTTGTAGTTGTAGCAAATCTATTTGTTGTAGCTATACCAAATCCCTCTTTTGTAGGCAATAACATATACATATGTCTCCCAACTCTTCTATAAGTATATGGGAATTCCTCTCAAAAGAAGTACAGTGAAATATATTTTTCATTACTTATCACATTTAAGATGAGATAAACACTCTTGAATCTACAAATGATTGTGTGATACCATGTCATTATCAAAGCAAGACATGAGGACCACTACATGCACTACATCGCAACTACTGGACACGATCGAGACCCACTAATTGAAGTATTCGACAGTAAATAGCTCCATCAACAGATCAAGACATGGGATCGAGAGATGAAGACTCAGAGACATCGATTTAGGGAGATCATTTGAGAAAATAAAAGTCATTGACCAATAAGAAGCACACCAAGATAGTTATGAGTGCATACCATTATATTTTTGTATGAACAAATTCATGCAAGTAGGCATAGCAGCAAGACTTACCTGCTAGTTCTTTTTTCTATATTTCACTTCGTGACGAATTCATCTGTGATTGATTAAACATAGGTATTTCACATCCTTAGAAATAAAATAAAACTTTATTCATGAATATACCCCAACAGAGTGATTTTCAAAGTTCTTTTGAGTTTGTTTCATGTTCATTTAACTCTTAATATTGTAATATATATGTTGGTACAGTATTGGGCATGCAAGTATATAAAAAAACTTAGGCTAGATAAGAAAAAGAGAGATGTCGACACATGCGAATCAAGAGTTGCTAGATAGGTACATCCAATCAAACATCTAAACCCATCCACAACCATACCTACTATCGTCAGGATCTTGATGGTGCCCACAAAGGTAAGTGCTAGCTCTTTCTATTCTATGTCTTTTTATATGTATATACGTGTGTATGTGTAGGGATTGTATACTCTATGACCATTCGCTTATGATACATTGAGATCAAAATCATCCCTAAACATTAGATGTGAAATTCAATAGCTTTGGTGTATCATAAAGTTCAAAAAATTCAATAGCTTTGGAGTGCCCAATTAGTGGCATTCCTCAGGCCACTTAATTTTATGTCTAACAGTTAACAATGAAGGTCCTTACACAAAAAATAAATAGTCTTATATTTGTGTGTGTATTTCGCAGGTATTCATAGTGTAGATCTTTCTATGGATATCTTATATCCACAGGTATATTGGAACTCATATGAAGTCGAGAGAAATTGGTGATGAGGACAACGAGGGACTAACATAATTTTCATGCATATAGCACTCTGATGTGCAATATGTTTTTTAATTTTTGCAACATGGTAGAGTGGTAACTGGCAGATCAAATGCTCAATTGCTATAACTATCACCACCGACCAGCATCAAACATGACTTGCAAAATGTTTCCCGAGCACTATCGGGACTTCCAAAAAGGTTGTAAAGTATGCCTCCAGTACTCTTGTTCTAGGAGAAAAAAGAAACGAAAAGAAAGAAAAGTAGTTATATATATATATATATATATATA